GCTGCCAGAGCTGGAGTCGTAGCTGGCGTCGTAGCTGGAGTCGGCGCTGGCGTCGTAGCTGGCGTCGTAGCTGGAGTCGGCGCTGGCGTCGTAGCTGGCGTCGTAGCTGGAGTCGGCGCTGGCGGAGGCTCTGGACCCAGCACCAGTGGTGGCGACGTAGCTGGCGTCGATGCTGCCAGAGCTGGAGTTGTAGCTGGCGTCGTCGCCGGAGTCGGCGCTGGCACTCGACCGATATGCTGCTCGGCTCCGTCGTGGCAGACGCCGTAGTAGAGCTTGACTCCATAGAGCTGGTTACCGACGTACTGTTTGACTCCGTCGTTGCGGACGTCTTGTGCGGGGTTGGCCCCATCAAAATCCTGAGGCGAATCCGGCCGTGACGACGGAGGAGGTTTTTGAAGCAACTGGGTCGGCTCGGATCCCGTCCGACCGCCCTGGGATGCCGAACGCGAAGGCCCCTCTCCACCAGCGGGGGCGCCCCTTTCACCAGGCGGGCCGACCTGTACTGACACCTGTTGAGACAACTGGGTCGGCTCGGATCCCGTCCGACCGCCCTGGGATGCCGAACGCGAAGGCCCCTCTCCACCAGCGAGGGCGCCCCTTTCACCAGGCGGGCCGACCTGTTCGAATCGGTTATCTTCATCTTCCCCGTGGTCATTTTCACCTGGAGTCGGCGCTGGCGTCGTAGCTGGAGTCGGCGCTGGCTTCATAGCTGGCGTCGTTGCTGGAATCGGCGCTGGCGTCATACCTCGGCTCGGTGCTGCTAGAGCTGGATTCGTAGCCGGTGTAGAAGCTGGAGTCCGCGCCGGCGTCGAGGCTGGAGTCGGCGCTGGCTTCGTAGCTGGCGTCGTTGCTGGAGTCGGCGATGGGGTCATAGCTCGGCTCGGTGCTGCCAGAGCTGGATTCGTAGCTGGTGTCGAAACTGGAGTCGGCGCAGGCGTCGAAGCTGGAATCGCCGCACTGCGCACTGACGTTGTGCTCGTCGACGTCCTCGGGCCACTCATGGACGGCATTGACGCGCTGCTGGTCCCCGAGCTGCCACTCAGAGGCCCTCCCGTGAGGAAGGTCTCCAGCGCTGGCAGCGCGCAGGTGGCCCACAGCACGGCGGCCCAGACGAAGCGGCACCACGGGCGAGCGGCAGGCCGCGCGGCGTGCTGCGCTGCGCCCTCATCCTCGTCCTCCTCGCCCTCGTCCTCATGCTCGTCCTCGTCCTCGTTCTCCGGGCTGCCTGCCAGCCGCCTCCTCCTCCTCCTCCTTCGCCTCATCCTCATCCTCGCTGCCTCCTCCTGACCTCCTCTGTTCTGCTCTGCGACCTGCTCGTTGTCGGCTGCCGTCTGCGACCGTGCCGCCATGGGACGGGCCTGCCCCGGGAGCGCCCCCGCGCCCCCAGTTCCGGCCACCCCAGCCCGCGGCTCCCCGCGCCCCGGGCCGCGTCGGCCGCGCCCCCGCCGCGGCCGCGCACCCCCGCCCGAGCCGCTCTTGCTTGAGCCCTCCTCTTCCTCCTCTGCCTCCTCTTCCTCCTCTTCCTCCTCTTCCTCCTCTTCCTCCCTCCCCCTCCTCCTCCTCCTCCTCCTCCTCCTCCTCCTCCTCCTCCTCCTCCTCCTCCTCCTCCTCCCTCTTCCTTCCGTGGCCATTTTTGCCTAAGTTGAACCCCATCCCTCGGGAGGGTTAAACTTGCCACGGCCGTGGGCTCGAGGGGCAGCCTAGTTGCCTGCCCCAGCGCGCCCTTTACCGCTGGGCGCTATCTCCGGGCGCCCCCTGGCGGCGGCCGCGGCGTCTTCTTCAGGGGGTTCGGCAAGAGGCCTGCGCCCGCTCCAGCTGGTCTTCGAGGCGTTCGGCAAGTGGCCTGCGCCCGCTCCAGTCGGTCTTCGAGGCGTTCGGCAAGGGGCAGTGGCCGTTCTGGCTGGTCTTCCACTTCCTCAAGCATGGGCGGCGGCGGCGGCGGCGCGGGAGGCGGTGTATTGTTACAGTTAGTTGCAGCGCTTCCACTCTGCCAGTCGCTGGAGACGTGTGTGTGTGTGTGTGTGTGTGTGCGCGTGTGTGTGTGTGTGTGTGTGGCTGAACTTGGCGCTTCGCCGCGCTTATTCACAAGTGTTCTTCAGCACCTTCGACTCCAACTGGGTCGTAGTCCAGCGCTGCAGAAATCAATAACAATCATGGGGGGAGGTGGCCCCATGGGTCAACCGAGTGCTCTTCGGGGCTTGAGACCAGACAGCTCTCTGTCGCGTTGGCTGCTTCGTAAGGAAGTTATTCGAACTTCGAGCTCGTTCCTCCTGCCTCCTCCTCCTCCTCCTCCTCCTCCTCCTCCTCCTCCTCCTCCTCCTCCTCCTCCTCGAACAAGAATGCGGGGACGAGAACATATGAGAGAGCGTGATCCACCGCCGCTTTACTGTGGAAAATTGCCCACCTTTTCCTCCGGAACCCGGGGGGTCTCCCCCCCCCCCCCCTCCGAAATCCCCCCCCCCCCTGCTGGAACCCCTCCCCCCCCCCCCCCCCCCTCCCTCCCAACCCCCCCTCCCCCTAACCCCCTCCCCCCCCCCCCCCCCCTCCCCCTCGAAAGAAAACCGGGGGGTCACTACCGGTTCGAACCCCTCCCCCCCCCCCCCTCCGGATCCGGAAAACCGAGGGGGGGTCACTACCGTTGGACCCCCCCCCCCCCTCGAAAACCGGAGGGGGGTCACTACCGGTTCGACCCCCCCCCCCCCACGCACCGCCAGCAAACGACTCCCGGTCCCTACCACCGCTCGCATGACATCCCCCACTGTTGTTCCCAGCACCACTGTCCTCACCACCACTGCCCCCGCTGGTTCCACCACCGTCCCTATTGTCCCCACCAGTGCCCCCACCACTGTCGCACTGTCCCCACTGTTCCCACAACTGTTCCCACCACGGTTCCACTCTCCCCACTGTCTCCACGGACCCAACCACTGCCTATCCCCACTGTCCCCACTGTCCCACTGACTCCTCCGCTGTCCCACTGAGCTGTCCCACTGTTCCCACCACTGTCCCCACTGTCCCCGCCACTGTCCCCACTGTACCTCTGTCCCATTGTCCCACCGCCGTCCTCGCCGACGCTTTTACCAGTGTCCCCACCACCATTGTACCCTCCACTGTCCCAGCGTTTTCACCTCATTCCCACTGTCCCCACACCACTGTCCCCACCACCACCGTTCCCACCACTGTCCACTGTCGCCCCTGTTCCCACCATTGTCCCCACCACTGTCCCCACCACTACCGTCCAGATGCGGCTTTGCTGCGCTGCGTCGTCTCTGCAGGGCGCCAGGCAGAAACTCGGATGCGGCTCGCAGGGTCTCCTTCCTCAAGCCTGTGCGAGCGCTGCGGAGCTGCGCAAGACAGGGTGATGCGTCGAATCGGGTCTTGCTGTTCCAGCGAAGTCATTGACGCGAACCCCGTGCACAAATCCTATAGCTGAAGGTGCATGCCCAGAAAATGATCTCTGAACTCGCGGCTAACCTACCTCGGCCGCCACCGCGACTCGCACCCCGCCGCCCGTCTCTCTCGCATTCGGACGGCGAGTTCTGGATCGGGGGCACGTCCTTGATGGCGGCGCACGAGGCCTGGATGACTCCGGTGGGAAATGCGCAAAGGATTGGCGTCTCCAAAGGCGCGGTTGGTCGGCTGTCCGACTCGATGAAACTCGCGCCCCTGGCGACGCTCGTTTCGACGGAGTCTCGCGCGGCACGTTGCAGCGCAGAGTAGTCCGAGGGCTGAACTCTTCGCCTTATTGACGCTGATGGCCCACGGCGTCGGCAACGCGGCGGCGCGCTCGGCCCGCCTTCCCCTTGCGCGGCCCCAGGGCGCCTGGGGCATGGATCGCGGCGAGTTCGCTGGCGATGGGCCCGCGGACCGCGCAGCGGGGTTGCCTCGATGAAGGGTCGGGGAAAGTCGAGCTGAACTGGACGAAAGCCCGCGCCACTTCGTCCGCGCGTGCTGTCTGGGGCTTCAACGAGTCCGAGCATTTTTGGAATTCCTGCGCTGACTACTTGAATTTGTGACCGCTGCAAGAAGAGAGGTTCAGCGGTTGATCCTAAGAATATATTCAACTCGTCTCTGGCATTGGCGATATGGTTTCGCGCGTCTTGCGCCGCCTGTTGAGCGCGAGCAGAGAGGCGGCGCGCGCGCTCGCGCCGCGTGGCCGGCCGCGTCGGCGGGCGCCCCCTCGCCCCGAGCCCCTCCCAACCGACGCCGTCCGTCGGCAGAGGCTGCCTGCTGCGGGCGGGCCATGCGCCCGCGCTCACGAATGGGTCGCTTCGCTGTCAACTGCCCAGGCGCAAATCTTAGGCTTTCCGAAGCAAGCTCGTTGAACTCGACCCATGGGACTGCGGGGCGCCGCCGCTGAGAGCGGGCCCCGAAGCGGCCCGCCCCCGTCGCGCTTTCCCCGGGGCCCACTCCTCCCACGCCCTCGACCGCATCAAGGGTGTCTTGTTTTGCGAGGCGTGCGAGCGGTCGCGGGCTGCCGCCGAAGAGTTCCACGGCCTCCCCGACAGAGCCTGACCCTGCCATTGGGCCACTCCTCAGCAAAGGCTTGCCCGCCAGGGCAGGGTAAGCAGGTGAGGTGGGCCCTCCTCCCCCTCCCCCTCCTGCTGCTGCCGCCACTGCTGCTGCCCCCCCCCAATCCTCCCCCCTCTCCTCCTCCTCCTCCTCCTCCTCCTCAGCCTCCTCCTCCTCCTCCTCCTCCTCCTCCTCCTCCTCCTCCCCCTCCTCCCCCTCCTTATTTCCTTCCTTCCTTCCTTCCTTCCTTCCTTCCTTCCTTCCTTCCTTCCTTCCTTCATTCCGACCGCTCGCGCCCGCGGTCGGGCGGCGCGCCCGGCCAGGCCGCCCTGCGCGGGCGCTCGCACGCCCCGCAAGCGGGCCTCCTAGCGCCCAGCCCGCGGCAACCCCTCCCCGCGGAGGGGTCGCGGCCGGCGGCCCCCGACGCCGCCGCGGGGGGCCCTTGCCCGCCAGCTCCCCGGGGAGGGATCCCCCGGCGGCCCCCCCAGCGCCAAGCTGGGCGAGCGCCACTCGGGGAGCAGCCTCTGGCAGCCCCGCTTGGGGCGGGCGGCTGAACGGCAGGCGCTCTCGCCAGGGCGGGATGGCATAGGGGGGGAACGTCGGGCCAGGCCGACGTCGGCGGTAACCCCAGACACCTCTCCAGGGGTCCTTGAGATCCAGAATTTGATGGAAGGGGATGTCCAAAACGTGTCCATAGGTCCAAAAAGTTGCAGGATATCCAGAATCGTTCAGCAAATCCAAGCTTCTTGATTTTTGCTCGATGGATCCATTTCCGACATTTTACCCCATGGATCCATTCTCCACACATATGTATGTATGTATGTATGTATGTATGTATGTATGTATGTATGTATGTATGTATGTATGTATGTATGTATGTATGTATGTATGTGTATATATATATATATATATATATATATATATATATCAGGTGCGATCCCAAAGAACGGGGCCCCACCCAAGGGAACCTTAAGAGGACCTAAGAGAGCCTTAGCCTACAGCCCTAGACGCCACACCCGAGAGGCTCTGGGCACTTGGGCCCTAGAGGCCGGGACGTGCCAGCGCGTGGCGCTACTGCATACGAAACTCACTCAACGTTCTCCTGCACGGACCTCGAGAGATAACTTGTTATCATTCACTGCTGAGAAATATTCACATCTGTGTGCGGTCAGCGCACACCTCCCAGGCAGACTGCAATGAACGTGAAATCTGATTGATGATAGCCTGCGTTGAAAGAGATGAACTCGGTCGGCCTTGAACTTCGCTAGGTCCGAGCGAGGGGGAGGGGTGCCTGAAGGGAAACGGTGGGAACCCCGCTGCGTGGTGCTGACCACGGCTCGGGGGGGGCGGCAGAGCGAACGGGCAGCGAGTGAGACCTGCGCCGAGGACCGAGGGCTGGGAGGGCGCCTTGAACTAGAAACGGTTTCGGGCGCAGGCAAGACCTGGAGACAACGTCCGAAGCAACAAGACATTTCCCACCCTTTGGCCCCTTCGCTAACCTATCTGAAAATCAACGCTCACAAACTCACTCACCCATTTCAGGTGCGATCCCAAAGAAAGGGGCCCCACCCAAGGGAACCTTAAGAGGACCTAAGAGAGCCTTAGCCTACAGCCCTAGACGCCACACCCTAGAGGCTCTGGGCACTTGGGCCCTAGAGGCCGGGACGTGCCAGCGCGTGGCGCTACTGAATACGAAACTCACTCAACGTTTTCCTGCACGGACCTCGAGAGATAACTTGTTATCATTCACTGCTGAGAAATATTCACATCTGCGTGCGGTCAGCGCACGCCTCCCCGGCAGACTGCAATGAACGCGAAATCTGATTGATGATAGCCTGCGTTGAAAGAAATGAACTCGGTCGGCCTTGAACTTCGCTAGGTCCTCGCTCCTCCAAACCCGTACTCGCTTGCGGCCTATGCTGAGGGCTCGGCAGGCACGCTGTGGCTGTCGCCCTCGCCCGTCCTTGTGTCCGGGGAGCCCTCGTCGGCGGCGGCCCCGTCGGCGGAGAAGGACTCGTCCTCGGCGTCAGGCGCCGATGACGAACGAAAGGCCCCTTTCCCGTCTCGCGGCCAAGCCCAGGTGGCTAGGCGCTTGCTCCACCTCCAGATCCTCATCGGCACTGAGGGTGGTGTGATGACTGGAGCGTGCAGGAGCGCCGACTTGGACAGAGTGAGGTCTGGCTTGTCGATAGTCGCCTGGATAGCTTCTTGCAGCAGCTCTGAGATCCGAATCGTCTGAGTGGTAGCGTCCTCGGTCAGCGACCATAGGGGATTGGCCCAGCGCACGTTGTAGGTAACTCCTGCAGTCTTCCAGGCCAAGCCCACATGGCCCGTATCGAACCAGGCCGTCCAGAGGTCCAGGAAGGTATAGGATGAGTCGCTGATGAAGAGATGCTTATGTACCTCCACCAGCGGACGAGAAGGTGATGCAACACACAAAATATCCGCCAACGCCTGGAGCCAGTGGTCGGGCAGTCCCATCACCGCTCGAGCCTCTGGCGTAGTCAGTACGTCCTCGGCGTACTCGTTTCCATCGAAAAAGGTGCGGCCGGCGGAGCTGTTGACCGTAACATTCGTGAAGTCGATGCCTTCCCATTCGGTCTCGGCGAGGCTGAGGGCGTTGTCGGTGAGGGCGCTGAAGATCCGTGCCGCACTCGGCGACACGTTCGCGCCTGCTCCCATCATGCGGCCGGCAGCCCCTCCGACCTCCTCGGCCACGTCCGAGGCGATGCTCGTGGAACGCGCGAACAAGGGGCTCCACGCTGTAGTCAGTAGCACCGCCATGATGAGCACAGCACAGCTGCAGCTGCCGCTGCAGCTGGAGGACATCTTAAACAACTTCCACAGGTACCACACTGAGGAAACTCGTCGGCGGGTCGGCTGTGGCCTGGGGGTCGCCCAGGAGGTCGGCACTCCAGGCGCCGCCTTGGTCATCGGCGGTGTCGCCATGCCCGTCGGCGGTGGCGTCGGCGTCAGCCCAAAAGGTGAAACCAAACTGGTCGGAGTAGGTGGGTAACTCGGTAGTGCCCAGGACGAGTGCCCGGAAGAGAATGGTGATGGCGGTGGCGTACTCGATCTGGCTGTCGGTAGCGTCTCTGGTGTAGCCCACGACCCGTCAGCCAAGCGTCTGGAGCCCTTCGGCGCCATGCAGCGCCCGTAGCGCACACCAGGCCCAGCGTTGGCCGGCCCAATCGAAGGCTGGACCCCACCCAGCCAACATGAGCCCCACGGCTATGTTGGCGGCCTGGACCATTCGATGTATGCTCGAAGGGAACTGTCCACCTTCCAACGGCCCGTTTCTCGAATCTGCTCGAAGGACACATACCCCGCGCTGTGGCCTCTGAAGCGAAACCTGCTCGGGCACTGTGGGGGGGTCCATCCCATTGGTAGGTTACACTCCGACTGGATGCGAGCGAGCAACTTGCGGTACTTCTCGAGGGCGCAGGGGAGCATGCAGCCCCCAGGGGGCGCGTGGGCCTTCAGGTCCTCAGGAGATCCACCAATGCAGGGCTGGAGGCCTCCAGGATGGCGTTCGACTGGGGGCGCTTCGCTTTGGCGTTCGCCTTGGTACCCAAGCCTACTATCAGGGGCCCTCGACCTCGACCGTGCCCAGACTCCTCGGGGAAGACGAGATCGGACGTGACGATACCCAGCATCTCGCTGGGCCGCATCCCCACTTTTCCCTGCAACATGAGGCCGATGGCCAGGCGAGGCTCTCCGAGTGCGCTGAGCCGCGCGCTGACGAAAGCCTGGGCGGTGCTCACCATCGGCACTGTGAGCTTGGTCTGGTGCGCTAACTCCCAGCCACGCAAGGCGCCGTGGCATCTGCAAAGGCGGCCCTTCAGCCGCGGAAACTTGAATTCGATAGCGGCGAGCAGGGAGGTGAAATGACTCTTGAGCAAGTCCACTGAGGCCTTGTACTCCATGATCGTGTCGCCCCACTCGCCAGGGCTCCAGGGGTGGGCCCCCTCGGCCACGCACCACTGGTAGAACTCCGCTGCTCGCTTGCGATAGGTTAGCAATGTCTCAAGCCGCGCACGGCCCTCCAGGTGCTTGTCGTCTGGCACCCTCGGGCTCGAAGAAGTCAGTTCTGGATGATGCGCACGCTGCGCGCGTCCACTCTCGGCACCGGGGCGTTGTGCCCCTCTGAATCCTGACCGCATCCTCTCATGCGTGAGAGGCCGTCCGCGGGCGTCCTCTCGGTCTCCACCCAGGGGAGGTGCATCCTGATCTCTGTGGCGCTCGACAACGCGCACCTCCGCCTGAGTAAGTAGTTCACGGGGCCGGCGGCCGATCGGCCTTTGGCCGCGGCGCCCGCGAAAGCCATGTTGTCCTCGAGGCTGAGGGCCTTCGAGCGTTGAGCCTCTGGCAAGAGCGCCAGACGCGTCAGGACCTTCAGCGCGGCCCGCCCTTCTCCCAGCACGATGTGGTCAGGCACCTTCCAGCGGCCCGACTCGACCGGGATCCAGGAGGCCTCTCCGTCGATCCAACCCCTCTCGACTGAGCTCACTGGCAAGAACGGCTGCGGCGCCTCCAGGCCTCGCTCCAGCACCTTCTGTAGTTGTCCAGGCTTGGCGACGGCCACGCCAGGGCGAGCGCCAGCGTTCCACAGCTCCCCCACGATCTTCGAGTTCGCCGCGGCCACGACGATGCCGTAGCCGCCCGCGTCGAAGTCCTGCGCGCCCTCGGCGTCCGAGGCGAAGACCATCGGCAGCAGCGGGGCCCCCAGGTCAGCGTAGAGCCCCATGATACCCCGCCGCATGGCTACAGCCTCACGGCGGGCCGACGGCCACCACCGTCTCCAGCGAAGGGCCCTCCTGGCGTGCGAACTGGAACAGGTGCTGAGGCGCCGACAGCCAGTGCCTGGCCAGCATTTCCGCCCAGATCCAGACCCCGATGACCGACGCCAGGTGGTCCAGGTGCACCCAGTCCCGGCTCGTGAGCAGCAGCAGCGCCTCGTACATGAGCGCCGCCTTGCGCTTCGGGACCCGCACTCGTGCGGGGCTAGCTTCCACCTCGTAGCCCACGATGCAATCCACCATGCCGTGCTCCCTCCGATCCTTCACAACGAAGCCCGCGTCCTCCAGCGCGTCCGCCACCTGGTGGACCAGCTTGTTGACCTTCTTCTCGCCTGACTGCTGGGACCCGCCGTCCGCTGCGATCAGGCCGTTGTCGATATGGAGGTAGAAGCTCGCGTCCCTCGCGCCCAGCACTGCCCCGCGGCCTCGCGAGGACGTCTCATCCAAGAAATGAAAGGCGCCGAGGTCCAAGGGCCCCGAATAGCACGTGATTCTCTGACACTTCACTCCGTCTCGTACGTGTCCAGTTGGCCCGCCGCCGGTCTGCGCCATCTCCGACAGCGTGGCCACGATGCCCTCTGCTACCCACCTGCACAGCCGAGGTGGGTAGGTGGCCAGCTTGGTCGTCCGAAAGTTCCCGTTAACCTTGCCGTAGCTCAGCTCGTGTGTGTGGGCGCCGTCGCACCGTGGCGCTTCGGTGGCCGCCAGTCGTGCCGCACCTGTGACCCTCGTGGGCTTCTGCGAGGGCCCGCCCATCATGCATTGGT